CAAGTAGCCGCTGTAACGAAAAAAAAGATTAAGCCGAAAGTCAAGGAATTAATCTTCAACGATGAATTTGTGGATGAGATTCAACAGAACATAGAAATTTATGAACCCATTTGTAATCTGATCAATGCTTGTCAGAAATCTGACACATCTGTAGCAGATGCCGTTCATCTGTGGCTCAATTTGAATCTGCCAGATAACCTTAAAGAAAAATTGAAACACAGACAACAAATGGCGTTAAACGTGTACGCATTAACTGCGTACTATCTGCATCCGAAATATGAAAATTCCAAGCTTACGTCAGAGCACACTGGTAGAATAACTCAGTTCTTACTCAGAAAGTTGTGCAATCAGGGCATAGAAGAATGGGACAAATTTAACACTAAATCGGGTAAGTCTTTCAGACAAAATTATCGCTCTTTTGATTTTTAATATATTAGGTTTACAATTTCAGGAATATTCTCAACACTTTGGGAAAAAGGAGTTGAAAAGCCTCTAGTATTTTGGCGAGTGGTCAAACTGGAATGCCCAATTCTTGCTAAAATGGCTCTCAGACTTCTAAAAATGCCAGCCTCCTCAGCTCAAATCGAGAGACTCTTTTCAAATTGGGGACACATTCACAGTCTGATAAGAAATAGATTAACGTTCACTAATTCCAAGAAATTGGTACATATTTATGTTTCATTAAAGGGAGAGTATCCTGATAAAAATAGTTATGACCTGGACGAGGAAGAAATTGTAGATATGGACGGGGAAAGTACAACTATTTGATGTATTATTGGTTAAATGTTTTCTTTGGTTAAAAATTAGCAAAACCGCAAAATGTTGTAATGTTTTTATTATGCAGTCTCTGCCAAAGCACGAAGAGATTCAACACTGTTTCAGTAATTATTATACTATAATTATTATAATAAAGAGTTAGTAAAATTTAAAAAAAAGTAAACGAAATGTTAGGAAACAAGGTAAGGTTTCAATGTACTGAGATATGTTTGATTGTGGTTTTGAATCTTACCTCGTTTACTGACGTTTAGGTTTACGTTTCTTTTTAATTTTTTTAAACCTTTCTGTAAATTTTACGAGTTTACGAGTAACGATAGAAAATTAAAAATCTATGAAAATTTGTTTTGCTGGTTTTTTCTGGTTTTGCATCTACATGGTAATATTTTAGATTCATTACATTGCATTACTCTATAATGAGGTTTGCACATAATAAATTGTCTCTATATGATTCTATTTAAAATTCATTTACACTTGAAAAACCTGCAATCAAACAATTATGGAATATCCTATGAATTTGACAATTGCAAGTTAATAGTGAGGTTAAAAGTTTCAAAAGTTTGAGATTATTTGGTCTCTTTGCAACTTGTTGAAACATTAATGCATACTTTTTCAATAAGTCAGCGCAGCCAGATTAACCTAAAATTTCAAATTAGTGCGCACGGAACGTCATTCTGATCGTTTGCTAATTGTCGACATACTCGACATTGTCGACATTGGCAACAAATTTAAATCACTCGACATCGACATGATTGTCGACATGTCGACAATCGAATTGTCGACATGACATTATCGACACCGCCCATCCCTGCATGTAGCTTCTCCATTTTTAAAAATTTTAAAGTGTTTGTTTGTCTTTGTATATTGTATTGTTATGTCCAAATTTACATGTATGACATTCTGCTCATGTCGGATAGGCCACAACTGACCAAATGCCCCTGAGGATGATCTATTGATCGAAAGTACTTGGGCAAGATTTAATTAATTACTGTGTTCGATATTTGCCTTGTATACCATCAAAGTTCAATTATTCGAACATTCAAACTTATATTGGTTGAAGTTGATAAGAGTTATTCAATAATTGGATATTCAATCTTTGACCTTGAATGCAACGTCAATGAAAAAACTGCAATCATTCGAGCTGTGGGTGTATAGAAGAATTTTGAAACTATCGTGGACAGAACACGTCACAAACAAAAAGGTTCTGAGAAGGACGAATAAAGAAATGAAAATTTTAAATACAATTAAAACAAGAAAATTAGAATATCTCGGACATATTACACGTGGACAGAAATACACCTTGCTTCAACTTATTAAGCAAGGAAAGATCCCAGGAAAGGGAAGCATGGGGAGGCGTAGATTGTAATGGCTGCGCATCCTGAGAGAGTGGTACGGATGTATATCAAATGAACTTTTCAGAGTCTCAAAAGTCTGAATAGCTAGATAAGATAAGATAGAATCCATTAAGAAAACAATAGACGACATTAAAGACAATTTTTCTTCTCATTAAAGACGACATTAAAGACGACAGAGATTCTGCAACTAATGGAAGAAAGAAGGAAAAACAAGAACGATAACTCCATGTATAAAACATTACAGCGAGAGATACAGAGAAAGATCAGAGAAGCCAAACAGAAAGAACTGGAGAAAAAATGCCAAGAAATCGAAATTCTCCAAAGTAAATAAGACGACTTCAACGTGCATAAGAAGGTAAGAGAAATTACAGTAAAGTAAAAAACAGAAGAATAAGTAAACTTGTTAATGACAATGGAGAGATAATCGTGGACAAAGAGAGTATCAATGATACCTGGAAAAATTACATAAGAAATTTATTTTTTGATGAGAGAGAGAACCAGCCCCCAATACCTACGGAAACAGGACCACCTATACTAGTGGCAGAAATAAGAGCAGCCATAATATCACTAAAAGAAGGTAGAGCTCCAGGACCAGACGGAGTACAATCTAAATTTCTTAAACTTCTTGATGATGAATCTTTAAGAGTACTATGTAAAATCTTTAATAATATCTATGACACAGGCAATATCCCAAAAGATTGGCTACTTTCAGAATTTATTACCTTACCAAAGAAACAGGAAGCAAAAAAGTGCGGAGAATATAGGCTAATAAGTCTAATGAGTCATACATTAAAACTTTTTCTTAAAATTATACATCGCAGAATATACAAGCTATGCGAAGCGAGAATACAAGACACACAGTTTGGATTCATGAAAGGCGTAGGTACAAGAGATGCACTGTTTAGTCTACACGTATTATTTCAAAGATGCAGAGATATGACTTGCGATATTTACACCTGCTTTGTGGACTACCAAAAAGCATTTGATACAGTTCAACACCAAAAAATGATGGATATTCTAACAAAAGCCCAAATGGATGATAAAGATCGGCGTATAATACAAAATTTATACTGGAACCAATCAGCCACAATAAGAACGAATTTTGGAGGTGAACCAACGGAAATGATCCAGATTCTACGAGGCGTTAGACAAGGTTGTATACTTTCACCTATATTATTTAATCTATATTCAGAGGAAATATTTAGTGAAGCCTTGGAAAAATGCGAACATGGAATACTTCTAAATGGAGAACGCCTAAACAACATCCGTTATGCAGACGACACCGTTATTTTTGCAGACAGTTTGAACAGTTTACAGCAACTAATAAACAAAGTAAATGAAGTAAGTGAAAGATTTGGACTTCAAGTAAATATAACAAAAACTAAATTTATGATCATCAGCAAAAATAAAGTTAGAGACGCTCAACTACTTATCAATAATACACCAGTGGACCGAGTAAAACAGTATAACTATCTTGGAACAACAGTAAATGAACAATGAGATCACTCACAGGAAATAAAATGTAGAATAGAGAAGGCTAGGAGTGCATTCAATAACATGGCCAAACTCTTTAAAAGCCACAATCTTAATCTGGAGATAAAAGTAAGGCTCCTACGATGTTATATCTTCTCAATATTGTATTACGGAGTTGAATCCTGGACACTAACTGAAGCAATGGAGAAAAAACTTGAAGCCTTCGAGATGTGGCTATACAGGCGAATTCTAAGGATATCATGGACAGACAAGATAACCAACGAGACCGTTTACGAAGAGTGGGCAAAGAAAGAGAGGTGATGTATACCATTAAAAGGAGAAAGTTGGAATATCTCGGACATATAATGAGAAACAGCACTAAATACAGATTACTGAAGGTAATCCTACAGGGTAAAGTATTCGGAAAGCGAGGAATTGGGAGAAGGAGAATATCATGGTTGAAGAACCTGAGGAAATGGTTCTCCACAACAACAACGAATCTATTTAAATCATCAGTTAATAAAATAATTATAGCCAGAATGATTGCCAATATTCGGAACGAATAGGCACTGAAAGAAGAAGAAGAAGTAGGGTGTAGCGGGTGGGAACTCCTTTGTTGTGTTGTGTTTGTTGTATTCTGTATTGTAAAAAGGCTATCTCCTTTTCCTCACATTTTGTCTTCATTTACTCTCTAAACCATGGTGTTTTCTTTTAGTTACTTTTTCTTCAAGTTAATTATGTTATTTTTGAGTGTTTCCCAGCTTTCCTCGATGTTATCGTTTTCTAATTTAATTCCCAGCGATCTTCTTTGATCTTTTTTTCCTGTATAACTATTCCGTGGATTCCGTGGAAAGATCAATTCTGAGTATATGACTTTGTGACCGAGTTACAAATGAAGACTTAAGACGAAAAACAGGAGATACCGATGTAATTTCCCGGATTGCCACACTGAAATGGAAGCACACTGACCGATCTCAAAACAATGTCAAGAAATTGGATGAAAATTGCTCAAGATAGAGCACAATGGATAAAAATGAGGGGGCCTATGTTTAGCAGTAGACGCAAAGGGCTGGGTGATGATGATGATAATGATTATTTATTACGCTTATTGATGCCATCATAAAAGAAACAAAAACTAAGCCACTACATAAAGAAAGATATCAGATTGCGTATTTGTAAACGATGTAGCAATTCTTAGCATCGACAGAGGAAGAGATCTAAAGAAGTGTAACAATATAAAATCTTTTGACATACATTTTACAACAGACGCAATCCCAGTTTTATCTTTAACCAAAATAAATACCTTTTAACCTTATTTATAAAATAAATAAACAAACAAAATATTTTCAATAAAACAATCACCATTTTTTCACAGACATTAACACTCTTACTACGACATTACTTTTCTCCTTTCTCTACAGGTTGTCCGTATTCGTCAATTTCTAAGGAAGGTACCAAAGGAGGCATGAACCCGTATTCCATCTTAATATTTTTTTCATCGAAGTTAGACCTGGCGCTTCTATACTTTCTTAAATATCTACCCAAATGCTGTCCGATTTTTGGTGGTAACAATCCAACGTAATTATCGTTTCCCTTAACCTGGGGATGATCACAATTGTTGTTAACTGGAGGTAGATATTCATTACTTATTACAAATTCCTTCTTAGGTGGCAAATAAAAGTTATTTTGTGGTGCGTAAGCATAGGGATTGGGATAATGATAACCGTCAGAAGTACTTTGGTCAACAACTTTTACGTTAGAATAGCTCGACTGGATCTGAGAATCTTTTAAGTTAGAATGAGCAGATTCGAGTTTTGCATCTTTTATGTTAGCATATCCAGAGTAAACTTGAGAATCCTTTAATTGATTTAAATTAATCGCCTGAAGTTTTGAGTTTAAACTTTGTTGTACATGAGAAGCTAAACTTTGATGAAGCTGTGTTTTAACGTTCGATTTGATTTGGGAATTATGGGCTATTCCTCCATAACTCCATTGGTTAACATTCTGCAATGGGAAAGTATAGTAAGGTTTTTCAATGAACTTGACAGGGACCTGCACTGCATAAGGTCTGGGTACTTCTACCTTAACATAATAAGGTTGTGGTACTGGTACTTTAACTTCAACAGGATATGGCCTGTCGATATACTGAGGTACTGGTTTCTCAACTATTTTTTCCACTTGTACAGGTTTTTCTATATATTGAGGAACATGCACTTTCTTTTCAACTATACGATCCACAGGAACTGCTACTGGAGTAGGGACAGGTACTTGAATATGAACGGGATAAGGTCTATCAACATACTGAGTCACAGGCTTTTCTACTATTTTTTCTACAGTAACAGGCTTTTCAATATAGTGATGAACAGGTACTTTCTTTTCAACTATTCTATCTACAGGTACTGGTACTCGAACTTCAACAGGATATGGTTGTTTAACGATTTTTTGCACAACTTTTTCTACTGGGTAAGGTTGGGGATAGGGGACACGTACTTCTACTGGATACGGTCGGTCAACATACTTTGTAATTTGTACAGGTATGTGAATTGGTCTGTCTACAATTTTTTCAACAGGATAAGGTTGCGGCACCGGTACTGGTTTTTCAACAATTTTTGTAATGTGTACAGGTTTTTCTATAACCTTTTCAACTGTCACAGGTACAGAAACTTGCTTGACTATTGGTACAGGTACTTCATAGGGAACTTTTACAGCATACGGTTGGTGAATAATTTTAGTTATTTCTTTTTGCTGTGTTGGTAATTGTTGCAAGAAAACTTGATGTTGGTAACCTTGAGCAAACTGTTGGTCTAGTTCGGCAAACTGGTTATGTATGAAGGTATTTGGTAATTGTTGAACATTAATATGATTGTCAACTTCCAATATTTGATTTTGTGGTGCTGGTACTTGACCTGGGAAATACAAAAGCGTTTTTCCTAACTCCAAATCATTTTTAACATTTTGTTCTGTTAAAGAATTATTTGCTGCATAATATCCTTCTTGTGAAAGGGGATATTCATACTTGCCTAAATAATATGGAACTGTTTTTTGTACTTCGATTTGTACATTTTGCTTATTTAATTTATATTTCTCTTCTCCGTGTTCCGTACTTTCAAGTCTGACTCCTGCAGTGATCGGTGCTAAGAAAGTAGTGCTCACCGGTCTTGGAGTTACTACAATAGTTGGAGTAGGGGAAGTGGACTCAAAAGTGGTCGAAACTGACTCTATACTACTAGCAGTTGTAGACACAATATGTTCCTGTTCTTTAAGAATGCTTTGTGTAGATGATACAATTTTATTATCAATATCAGCTACTACTATAGGCTGTTCCTTAAGACTTGGTTCGGTAACAGTGTATTCAGTAACTGTAGGGTAAGCGGTTGTTGATTTAATACTTTCTTCCTCATAGTTTGTAACTGCACTATTTATGTCTAGTACATCCTGACCATTAACTAGGTGCTGTGTGCTTTCTATTAACTTCGTAGGTCTTTTTGTTTTAATTTTTAAACCAAATTCTTGGTAAGAGAAAGCATTGTCCTGGTTGTCAGTTTTAACCAACTTCTCAGCAACTAATTGTTCTTGTTTTTGTTGATCCAACAATACTATATTTTGCTGTGGTTGTTCTATCAATACCTGTTGTTGTTCTGGTTGATTACTTTGGTATATTAGGGGGGTAGGACTTGGTTGGGGAAATATGACATTTTCTACAGGTTGTGGAATATGTTGGATATAAAGTTGTTGAGCTGGTTGTGCCAGTTCCTGTTTTAGTTGAGGTTGCTCAAATACAACTTGCTGATATTGAGACTGTTCTTGTTGGGCAACAGGCTGAGGTTCTTGCTGCGCATATACAATTTGCGGCTGAGGTTGTTGTTCAATTTGATGTTGAATTTGCACCTTGGGTTGATCGTGATAAATAACTTCCTGAGTTGGAGCTGGACTGACTGGCTGAGGTTGTTCCCTGAATGGATCATATGGTACTTGCGGTACTTCCTGTTGTTGGACTATGGTTTGTTGGTTAGGTATTGGTACAAGTAAAGTGTTTTGTGGTTTTGGTTGCTCGAGGATCGGGGCTGGAATAGTATGCGTTGGTATAGGTGAGCTTCCCACACCATCTTTTTTTAGTGGTCCCGTGTCTGGTAATCCTTCCAGTTGAGGCTTGTTTGCCTAAAATATAAAATAAATATTATAAATTTGAAAAAAAAATAAGAAAACGATACATTTTGCTACACTTGTTAATAAAAATAAAATAAACTCTATAAGGTTTTAATTTGCATCTTGCAAATATTCAAAAGAAAAATATTTAGGATGGAATCTTAAAATCTTTGATTAGAATAAACAAATTCAATTGTATCTTTACATTGACAAATAGTTGCTTAAGTGTGCGTTTATAGCGAAGCGCCGACTCTCGCTTGTTCATGGGATGATATCATCTTATCTATTTTAGGTAAAATAAATGCATTATTTTAAATGCTAAGCGTTTACCTTCCATGCTATGCTCTAGGCGAGGATACCATGTGATGATCTCCGTTATGAACGCACAAAGGCAAAGAATAGGCATTAGATCCAGAGTTAACTTGGTTAGATCCAATGTTGAAACGTCTGCTCCTGATACATTGTACTCTTACGAAACAACGCGCACGATGGACAGCCAGAATGCAAGCAGACAGTGATCTGTATAGTCGGTTCGCTATATTTACGCGGGTTTCGGATTAAAAATTTTATTGTAAGTACCCAGTTTTAATTACCTGCTCTTTGGGGAAATATCAACTGGTCAAATGAAATGAAAAATAATCCATAACTTTTTTTAATTAAATAATAATGGAAAACCTTTTATATAATTGACAGTATAATAAGGAGAATTACTTCATTAATGGAGTCTAATGTAGCTAATATAAACCTAATAATAATTTTATATTACACTTCACACAGAAAATATGGTCTATGTATATTTGTTCCATAGAGAGAATTTCTAATGAAAAATAAAAAAAATTAACTTGCCAACAAAAATGAAAATCAGTCATTATCATTAAAAAAATAATCGTCATCATCATCACTGTCATTATTGTTATTATGATTGGACTTATTTCGTTTATTTTATTTTCACGAGTCCACCAATCTTCTACTAGTTTCTCGAACTTGAATATACAGTTGCACCACACTTCTGGAGTTACAATTGAAAGTGCCTTTCGCCAAGTTTCCCGAACTGCGTCGTCGCTAAACCGTTAGGCCCAATAGGGTTGTCATAATATTGTTTTGCTATTCCCCATATATATTCGATGGGATTAAACTGGCAATGATACGGTGGCAGACGGAAAACTTGATGACCGTAACTTTCAATAATCTGATCCACAACAAAGGTTTTTGGTTTTGCGTGGATATTTGTCAAGCGTAATAATTCTGATTTTAAAATATGTTGTGTAAATGGTATATGTTCCTTTGTCAACCATTCTTTAATTTTATTAACAGTCCAAGAATTCGTTGGACTTTTGTTTAATACTTCAGAATGGTAAGGTGCATTGTCTAAAATAATTACGCTGGGCTCAACTAAACCTGGAAGAAGTTTTTCATGTAACCATTTTACAAACATTTCTGTGTTCATATTATCGTGATAGTCACTTGATTTTGATTTAGATGAAAATATTAAATCAGCACCTTCTATAAAACCCGATTTCCCTCCTGCATGTAAAATTATGTGTCGCTTCCCTTCTCCATCAGTATGTTTGATAGACTTTATGTTATCATCTTGCCATATTCTCTTGGTTGCACCCCTAGAAAATATCCATGTTTCGTCTAAATATATAAAATTTGCCCTTTCTTCTTTTAATTTAGAATATTTTCTTGGAAAGTTAATTCTTTTATGCATAACAGAACTTCTTTCACAAAGGGTTTTCTGTTATCCTCCTTTTGAAATTTGAAACCCAAATTATGTATTACTTGCCATAGACTTGTTCTGCCAATTTCGTCAAATTTTCTATCTTTTAATTCCGAGAGAATTGTATTTAAGGTCACATGTTCTTTGTTGGCTCGCATTCGATAAATGGTATTACGAATTTCAAATTTTTTTCCATCTGGAATATCTTTCGTTTTCAATGATAGGCGAGTTTTTCGGGATCTTCTTTCTGCCGCTCATTATTGCGATTTTGTAAAACTCCTCTTAGTTTGGTTTCACTAATTCCTAGAGCATCACATACGCGTTGTTGAACAGACATTACCGATTTTAAAGGACCACCATTTCTTTTTCATCCGTAAAATACTTATGTACACTACAAATTAGACTATACACGTCTAGGCATTTTTAAATATTTCCACGAAACATACAATGTCAACACTGGCATCAATTCAACTGCAATATTGTAACAAATTTATACCTACCCTAATGTTATTTTAATGTATTTTAAAATATGACCATTAATGCAGTTTTTACCTAATTTTCTGGGAAGTCGTTTACTGCAACTGGTTATCAATGAGTCATTCATTAGCATACTTTTGTTAATCCGAAACCCGCGTAAATATAGCGAACCGACTTTATCAATATTGTATAGTTTGTATTGTATACGACAATTTAAAAATGGGATTTACACAATAATTTTTTTCTTCCGTTTTATTATTATATGATTATACATATACATCCATCTTGTAATTGAAAAGAAAAAATAATGTAGAAAGCCTGGTCTGAGGTGCGGCCAATGTAGAAGCAGCACGTTGTTGGCCGCATGGTAGGTCGCATAGTAGGTCGAATTCGATGCGGCCAAAGTCCGACCAGTGGTCGTGACTAGAGATTGCAATTGCTGGATCCAGCATCCAGTAATCCAGCTAGATCCAGAAAATCATGCTGGATCCAGCAGCGTGAATCCGCAAATGTGTCAAATTCGAAATAAGTTACTTCTTTGCCATTGTATCGCTTTAGCAGGTACGACTTGCCAAAAGTGTGATTGAACTGCACCATCGCGTCGCCCTTTCTCTTGCCTGCACCGCCTACGCCTACCCATTGACTCTTAGACCTCTTCTATTTGTCTAATTTTTAGTTGACTTTCTGCTCTCGCCAGTAAAAGTGCCTCTATCAATCTGATGTAGTGTACAAGGAATTAAGTTTGATTCTTGACTGCCGTACCAGGTGGCAGTTTGCTCAGTATGCTGGAACCTTTCCAAAGCCTCAAAAGTTTGCATCGATAAAACATTAATAGGCATTGATTCTGCGATAAAATTCTCTACTGGCGAGTGGTCAATAATCAATGAGTTGACCGCACCGCACTGCTTCAACTGGCGAAACTGGCTGTAGAAGTTCTTTGCAGAAGAAAGTCCACTTTGATAAAGGCCGATACAACCTTGAAATTTGTCATAGACAAACTAAATAGCCAGGACTCTAGCCTTAGTGCCGAGATATCGGAAGCGCTACGCAACAGAATCTATTGTGATTGTGGAAGCAGTGCTAGAGTACATAATGGAAGTAGAAGATATTCCAGCTAATCCGAAGCCCATGAATTTCACTTTAGAACAAGAACTTGAGATTGAACTGAAACGAGAGAGAGAAAACTTTTATACCAAAAAAAACTGGTTCTAAAAAGATTACGAAAAGATTTTGAAAAAGGAAATGACCGTTTTGTGAGAACGAAGGAGTGAAAGGCGATCATTTGTCCATGGTTTATAACTATTTGATGACCTTAAAACCGACCAGCGTAGAGGCCGAAAGGGCTTTCTCCGCAACCGGCTATATGTGCAGATCTGTGCGAAGTAGGTTAGGCGATAAGACGATAGATAAAATATGTTTTTTAAGGTTTCACTTCCAAAAAACTAAATAATTTATGTTTCTGTTGTTTAGAAATTTAGAATACAGACTGATTTTATCATGATATCAAAAAAAACTAATCCTCAGTAAGCCATGGAAAAAAAACATATTCCTTAACTTGTGTCAGCTCAAAATTACCATCAATGAAATTTGCTTCAAATGAACTACTCTTAGAACAGATAAGTTCATTTGAATAAAATTTCATTCGTGACAATTCTCAGCCGACACAAGCAAATCCCTATGTTCCACTTCCACGGCTTACTGAGTACGAGTTTTTGTTTTATTTTTATGATAATTGTGGCATTTGCTCTAGTTATTTTAAATTAAAGAGAGGTAAGATTGATTGCGAATTGTAATAGTAATAAATGAACAAAAAGAAAACATTGAAATCTTGTTTTTATTTTGATTACATATTTTGCTGGATGCGCGCTGGATCCAGCTGGTTTCAGGCCAATCTTGCAAAAATCCAGCTGGACTGAAAATGCTGCTGGATTGCAATCCCTAGTCGTGACCGAAACCGCTGTAGTGCAGATTAGCTCTAATGGCTATGATTCTCTAGGAACAATATTGCCTCCCGCTATTTCGTTTCCTAAATATTCATAGGAAATAATAGTGTATCATTGTAATATGTATCGAATGTATCATTATGGACTCGTGGTATAATCTATTATTAGTTGCATTTACTTGTAGTATTAGTGAGTAAAATGAATGCATAAAAACGACTTTTGTAAATGCAAATGCTTTTTGAAACCTAGTTTTCTATATTTTATATCGTTATTAAAATCGGACAAACACTTAATAATAACAATTAGTGATGGAGTGGGATTCACCATTACCTTAACTGGGGCACAGCCAAGATTTAACTAGAGGCGCCTTCAACTCCTACTAAAATATTTGTATTAAGAAAAGTATAACTGAATCATTTATGCATATCGAAAATAGCCTCAATGCATGTGGGAATGGAATAAAATTATTTAGTGTAGCTATTATAAATAATTATGAAATTCAATTTAATTTAGAATTTATTTGGTAGTTTGTTGTGAAATTGGTTCAATACTGGTATAAATATTAATAGTTTTTGCAATACTCTAGAGATTATTATAATTTTCTAATTAAAACACGCATGAGATTAGGGTTAATGTTAGTTATATAATCTTTCATTTAGTTTGTGAACATTCCTAAATTACTAGTAGAGGAAAAATGTATTATTAGCATATATAGTAGCACATTATAGTTGATAGGTATTTGATCTTATTTCGTTGAACATTGTTTTTAGGTATTTTGGGAGATAAATGTAGTGAAATGTATTTAACATAGGACAAAAAAGTAACAGATTCTTACCAAATTAAATATGACAATTCCGAGTTCCAACATCGAA